TAAAATGCTATTGTTCAAAATAAATTGAGTTTGGAGCTGAAGTCTATTATATAGCCACTCATCTTGTACTCAGACACTGACTCACTTCAGTGTAGCCCATTCTGGTAATTCAGGCTCCGTGTATAAAAGATTCTCTTTTGGGTTCCTCGATGTCTCAGATGATGCGTGATCTCCCCCCTCCCATCACCCCAAGGAACGAAAGAGAGCAATAATCAGCTCGGGTTAGCTCTCCAGGTCACTATCCTGTAAGCCTGCTAGAAAGCGTGCACATGTATGTGGATGCCATGTGAACGGTTCAGTTTTGCACAACAGTGTGTCCAAGTTCACCATTCGATGAATGACCATTCAGATGGAATACCAGAGAGCACCCAGCACCTATAGTAACAAACTATTGCCTTTAGGGGAGGAAGGGCAATACGTTGTCTGTTAAGTTTTTACTCTGGATTAATTATTTTTCTGCCGAGCAATGTAAATCGCACAGACTCCTGTCTTCAGGCTCATGCTGTGCATTTACAATGTTGATGCAACCATGCGACTGAAATCCACAACTCATTATTCATCCCAGCAATCAATACACTCGGAGTCTGAAATCAATTCCACTTTCCTCTCCATTTAATTTAAATCATTCCTGACCATTTTTCATCTTGAAGTTTTCTACCCTAATTGAAGATGCAAATATATCAGAAACAGACAAGAAGTCATTGAACTGAAACAATTCCATCCCTTTGCAGGTCTGTGACTGTGACTGTAACTTTACAGTCTGTGACTGTAACAATTGCTTTCTATATTATTGCCGTCGACTTGTTCCAGAACCTCGTCACAAATTGGGAATTTTAATAGTTCAGTCATGTTCTGTTCATGTTTTAAAATATGGAGAGTAAATAGGATTAAAGCATTGGCCACAGTCCAACAAAATAACAAATAGGGAATGTGGAAATCTACTCAGCGACCAATCTTCTGTCGGGTCTCAGGGCTGTGGTTATGTTTTGGCCAGCTGGGTGTCTGGCACATGCGGAAACCTATCACCATACTAAAGAGTATCCAAACCAAACAGAGTTCCATGCAGCCCACCTAAACATTGAATGGAATGCGCACTCTCCCTGGAAGGACACATCCTGCTAACCTTATTCCGGACAGTATTAGGTACAGGTTGGCAAGAACCAAGGCTTGGGGACCCCAGCGTGCCAATTGGGGTATTGCTGGAGTCTAAACTGCATAGCTTGCCATTAAAAGTACTGTTTAGGCAGCTTTATGCTGCTTGTCCAGTTAGGACCACCCTACCCATTTGGGCTTTGGTTTGCAGGGTTAATGGGAACTGAGTGGGAAGAATCCCTACCCCCAGTGACTGGTCTAGCCTTCCAAGTCGTGCCAATGAACCAAGATGATTGGGCTGTGATCATGGGCCAAATGGCCTCTTTCTGTGCTGTAACATCCTCGGACACATCAGGTTATCTGCAGTATTTGCTATTTATAAATCCCGTGCCAATCTTGTAATTTAGACCCCAGTGTGGCCCGAGGTCATTGGTATAAGCAGAGACCCAGTGAAGCTTCCCTGGCATAGTACCAACACAATTCCACTAATGCAAGGTACAATAAGAAAAGCAATTGCCCAAATCATCTCATTCATCCATCCCTGAATACCCTAAACATTTGAGCACGCTTGATACAATTCCACTGCCACATTGTGACCGTTCTTGCTCTTTTCTACAATTTATTCCTTTTGGATAAAAATACATTATATAGAAACTGCCTTCAGGCAGTATTAATGCGGCTGTAGAGGAAGCCAAACATAGATACATAGATTAGGATTGACTGGCAGCAAAGAGCCATTGTACTCTGAGCGCTTGGAGCTCACTAATCCCACTGTTATGTAAGACCTGTAGGACACTGGAGAATCAGCTCTGAAATGCATGTTCTTCTGAGGGAATGTTTTGATACTTTTACTTACTCTCTACTTTCAGCCTTATTTGTGAACTATACTGATAATGGTGAGGGGAAATTGAAAACTCGCCTATTTCAAGAAGTCAGCTTCAAGCACCCAGTTCAATAACAGCATGAGTTAGATACAGGCCAAAGCTACCTCTATTCTGTCCAAACAGTGGGTATCAGCCTCAACCACAGAAGAACACCCCTACAACCAAGTGTGGCACATTTTCCTGAGGTTGAGACTGAGACCATTGTTTGGGCAGGATAGAGGGAGTGTTACTCAGCTATTACTGGTCTCTCCAACACAATATGATCACATTTTGAAATTGATGTGGGATGTTGTAACTAAGTACCTCTGAGTCAAGGTTGAGGGTTTAAGCCCCACATCAGGATATCAGATCATAGTTCAGACTGGTATTCCAGTGCAGTGCTGGGGAATGCTGCATTGTTATTCTTTGGATGATATGTTAAACCAAGCTCCTGTTTGCTTGTTCAGATGGATATTAAAGATCCCAAAGGATGGGAGTTTCTTCCAGTGTCCTGGCCAATTATCCTCTAGAAGATAAACGGACATTCTCTTCATGGGGTGATAGCCAAGCTTAGTTAGTAGCACGGTTTCCTTTGAGTCAGAAGGTTGCTGGTTCAAGCTCCACTTTAGGAGTTTGAGCTCACATTCTAGGCTGACATACCAGCGCAATGCTGGGGGAATGCTGAATTGTCTTAGTTGCCAACTTTCAAATGAAAAAATTAATTTGAAGACTGTTATTATTAATTCAAATGCAAAGACTTATTATTACAGTTGTTTGTGACTTTGCTGTGTACAAAATAGCTGCATGTTTGACAAACCATCACTACACTTGAAGTGCTTTGAGACATTTTGATGTTCCATTTGTTCCATCTTCCCTCCCCTGGATGAGATGAAAGCCAGTGTCTAAGCCTTGTTTAAAACTAGATCACAATTGATACAGGTTTGTTTATGCCTTGCAATGCTGGTCTCCTCTCCAACACAATGTGGTCACTTTTTGAGATTAACAAGGACTCTTTTCTGTATCCAACATAGGAAATAATGAGTTGAATAAGAGCCTGACAGATCAGCGCAATTCTGGCATTGCTTTGGGGAGGAAAACGTTATCTCTTGCACAGAAACGCATGTACTGTCAGACAGAATAGTATTCATCTGTCACAGTTTATGCATGGTTTACAACTACCCTGTTGCACTTCTTTATGCAGAGAACTTGCTCGCCAATTAATGACTGTCACTGAAAGATACAGTGTGTCTGTAAGTTTCGCTGCATCTATTGAATTCCTATTCCTATAACTATTCTATAGCCAGCTGTCACCCGGCTACATCAGCCAATGGTTTTCAAGGCTTTGATACAAAAATAATTCCTTTTTTTGCCTTCTACTCAATTACTTCTCCCCTGGATTTGACCCTTGATTTGTGTTGTTATAAATACGGTGCCTTTGAAATGGAAAACGGGTTAGGATACTTGTAGCTGCCGCTATTTAAAATTATCTTGTTCCATTTCTTCCTGAACATAATTGCGACCAGACCTTGTTTTTAGGTTCCTGTGTTCCTTTGGAATGAAGTGGTGATCGAGAGCACTCTCGAGGTCAGAGTTGTCCCAGTGATTGTAAAGCAGTCTGATTCTATGCCAGACTCTAATAATTTCATTGTTGTAACCAAAAAGGTTGAGAGAGCTTTGTCACAGATCTCAAAACCCTCACCGAGGCAATAGTTCCACCCACAATCTTCTTGGGCCAAATCTTTCACAATGGTGAAGCGATTCAAGAAAGACTTTGCAGAACTGATCAAACTATAAGAACAGAAGATAAGCCACTCCCCTGATTTTTAATTGACTTTAGTGTCCTGGCATCAACCACCGCTCATGACAACTTGTTCCAGTTCCTGATTTGAAAAAAACCTTCTAGCTGTCTGTCCTAAAATTGGCCATTGTAACTCTGAACCTATGTTCACTTGCATACACCTATAATGTTCCTTCCCTCTGATAACTCTTCTCCCAAGAATACAAGAGTCCCACCTTGCTGGCATTAATCTCGTGTCCCAAGGTGGAAAGAGAAAAAAATGGGCATGAATCATGTCCCAAAAGCCTGTGTCAGCCTGGCACAGTCGTAACGCTTCACCTCTGAGTCAGAAGGTTGTGGGTTCAAGCCCCATGTCAGGACTTGAAATCACACAGCTGATACTCCAATGCAGTTCTGGGGATGGGGGGAGTTGCCATGTTGGAGGTGCTACCTTCAAATTAGGTGTTAAACTGAGGTCCCGTCTGTCTATTCAGGTGGATGTTAAAGATCCATGGCAATATTCGAAATGTAAAGGGAGATTCTCATGGTGCCCTGGCCAACAATCGTTTGGTTAAATTAGTCGTTTATCTCCTGGCTGCTTTTGAACCATTGCTTTGTGCCACCTTCATCTAAGGAACAAGAAACAGGTTAAGAAACACTACTAATTTTATCCTGTTGTTGCATAAGTGGGATTTGACTTGATTTGATTAAAATGGGAACAGATCGTAGTTGTGTAGCTCAGAGTGACATATGTCTGGTTGGGGGGTGAAAGGACCCCATTTGTGCGACTCTGGATTTTTTAATAATAAGGGATCCTGTTAAGAAACACCGTAAACTTCTCTCCCCACATTATCACTTTGTCAGTATTTTGGTTCTGATTTATAATGCTGTTAATAACTTCCAGAAATTCTAAATAAAACCACATGCTGGCCTTTTAAAATATAAAATACAGTAAAAACACAATGAAAAGCAGCACTGGTTCATGTTCTTCCTTTTGGGGTTGATACAACTTCAGCTGAGCACAATACATTCAATTTAATTTGCAATGTGATACCTGAACAAGGGTGCATGTTCTCCATTACATGCAACTAAACATTGTCTAGGAGGCACAGAGGGTTTGGCACCAACCTTTCACCTCTGTGACCTGAGGTAAAATGCAACAAACTTTAGCTTGTAAGAAAGCCCATGGCATTGTTCGAAAAAAAAGGGAGTTTCTCCTGGTGTCCTTTATTACTAAATTAGCAAACTCACTCAGAGAGGGCCTTATAAGTCTTGTAGTTTAGTGATTAGAGCGCTCGCCTCGGAAGTGAGAGGGCCTGGGTTCGATTCCCAGCAGGATGAAATGTGGGGCAAGTTTCCTTACTCCACATGCCTCTGTTTATCTAGCAGTAAGTAGGAATTTGGTTGTTAGACGATTGGTGGATCGCATTTCCGGGGGTAATAATTCCTTCAATATGAATTTAAGAAAATGATTTGGTCACTCAATCCACGACTGTTTGTGGGACGCTGCTGTGCGTAATTGACTGCCGCTTTTCGCCCATAAAATATACAGTCAAATTACTTTACAGTAATTCTGTGAAGTGCTTTGAGACGTCTCAAAGACGTGATAAGGCGCTATAACAAATGCAAGGATTATTATTATTGTAAGAGAGCTGAGGGTAAAAATTTCACCTTGGTCTGGATTTACTATATTTTCTTAGCATGTCAGAGTGTGCAGCATTTGGAAAATTCTTAAATACGGTCTTAAATTTTGAAGCTAGTTTTATAATTGGTGGCTATTATTTGCTGACTTCACAAGCTTCTAGTCTGAGTAAAGAGCCTCTCCTCCCTCGCTGTTTTGAATATTGCATTTGGGAAACAAAAGATAAATAGCTTTTTAAAAAAAGTGACCGCATTCTCCAAGCTGACTTTTTCATGCATATAATTGTCCTTAACCATGTGTGTTGGACTAAACTGAACCTTATCACATGAGCTCCCCAAAGTCATATCTAGCACCAAGTCCTTGCTGGAAGCGACTGTATTAAGTAGAACTCGCCTGCTTTTTGAGTGATCAGCACTTTAATGGCTTGTTTTGCCTTTGTAACTCGAATGCTGTGTATATTTTCCAGCCTCAATTCCTCGAAGGGGAAATTCAAGTGCAACACAGATCTGCCAATCGAAAAGCTTCCATTTCACATGGTCTCTTAAAAATTAAGATTTTGCAGATTTTTGGAAATTCCCTAATTTTAATGTGGAAGCCAAATTTCCACAATTTCTAACTGGATATGCAGGAAAATGGTTTCCAAAATAAGATGCAGGTTCAAGAATCTTTCCAAAATTCTTGAAATCTTACATTTTCAGACATACAATGGTCGTGAGCCTAAGAATATGAAAACTTGAGATCTCGCTGTTTCCTCTTCCCCCTCCCGCCCCCAGCTCCACTGCAGACCCTCCTTCACTTTTAAAGACGGTGAATTATACGCTGTCATAAAAATTCCATTTGGTTTAGACTCCTCCATTAGCATTCATTAGCTATGCTTGCCGTTTTTTTTCCAGTGCATTTAACAATAACCTATGCAAATGTGTTCCATCAATATCCAATTATTATTAGTGCCTCCCACTACTTTCAACTCAGATCAGCAGGAGACCGCATTAATGTGAGTGAAAGTGCACAGTTTTTATACCAAGGGGCTGGAGAGATTTCAGGAATAATTGGCATGTAATCCTTAAGAATTTTGTACTTATTAAGGTGAGAGATTTTAGTGCTGGGAAATAGAAGAGTAGAGGGATCTTTTACACCATATTTTAAGTGTACTGTATGTGACCTGTGAGTGCTGAATGTCAATTAATCTAGCATTGGCATTTAGCACTCCCAGGTTCCGTACAGTACACTTAAGTTTTGTATGTAAAAACCTTCTACTTTATCCCATGCCATGCTCCCGGGTCAGATACTTAGCGGAGTAGATAGAGTATAAGGCTTTCTTCTAGTCTTTCCCAAATGGCACCCATCCCCATTCTTGGAACAACACCCTTAATATACCAATATGACAATTTCCACTTCCTCTATTCCAACCTCTCTCAATGTAACTGACTGACTCATTGTAACTACTTTTGTGAGATAAATGAGGTACATTTTGACTCTGGTGGAGTGAGATGCTAGTCCATCCTGACTGCTCTGCTCTGTCCAGGGGATCTCCACCAACCGATGGACATGCTGTGGCCTTGTGAACTGGCCGAAGGTCATTGCTTTCTTATGACTTTATAAAGTGTCTGCAAGCCACAAAAATAAACAGCAAGTTAGACTGTTTGCCATTTATAATTTGAATTTAAGTGCATCATTTTGTAGTCTATCCACACAGCACACCGTTAAGCATCAGATAAATAGCCTTATTTGACTTTAGCAGATACTAATCTGTTAATAGTTAATCTCAGCGGACAATTTCAACATCCCATAATTCACTAAGATAGATGTCGGGCAGAGCACATATAGTGCTGCTGAATTCTAACAGCATTTTTCTGAATAAATTACTTTTGCTGGCACACATTGCTTCCTGTCGTCCTCTTAAGCGTTTCCCATTGAGGTGCAAAACAAATTGTGGAGAATCAGCCTTACACACTAATAAGCTGTAGCCTCGGGGTGCTTGGGAGATGTTCAGGAATTCTTGGCTTGCAAACCAAAATGATTCATTCTTTCCCATTCATTCAATTTCACTCTACAAATATCTCTTTGGGAGCACTCTGTCCCTGTAAATCGGTATGACTCTGATCAGACCCCTTAATGGAAGCACCGAGTCTAATGATCATTTAAACTAGCTGCAGTTATACGACCGCCATCAGGTGTTTTCCTCTGATCTTAATGGAGTCCCTTTAAACCCGAGCAATGTCATGTCAGTAACTGTGTGTTGATATCAAATGCATGTAAATCAATGCCAGGGATATGTTTTATAGTCTGTTAATGCATTTGCAATTCTCTCAGTATTCCTATAAATATTAAACATGCATCTGGAGAGAAAATTGAAGTGTAATGAAGTTGCCTTTTAAAGTGCTTGTTGCTCCTTAAATGATACTCCTTAGAAACACATAAAAGTGTAATTACGATATTCTATCCTCGCTGATAATTCATGTTCATCCCTTAGGATCATTGACTGTTCACGGGAAGAGCTCCTGGGTGAGGGAGAGGAGGGATTCAGAGGGGTAGTAAAAGCGTTTCAAATGTTAGGGAAATTGTAGCCAAAGGCTCAGCCACCAATGGCCTCAGTTAGCTGAGAAGAAGGGGTGAGCGGTAGAGTGAAATAGATCACAGAGATGGGAAGTGTTAGGTCTAGAGTGTGAAGGGATTTATAAATGAGGGTGAGGACTTTGGTGCTAATCTATTTGGTGACGGAGACAGTGAAGTCTCGTGATGATTGGATGATGTGTGGGTGAAAACTTGTCTCACGACTTCTCCTGGAACTCAGTCTTCCCAGAACCTCAAGACTGCATTCTTCACCTCCTTCAATCTTCCCTTCCTCCTACACTCAACAACAACAATAACAAAATTATATTTGTATAGCGCCTTTCGTGTCAGGAGGATGTCCCAAGGCTTTGGACCGTCAGTCAGTGTTTCGGACCCCAGCTAGGGTTAGGATCGGGCAGTGTGGAGGGCAGGAGGGATCGAAGGCACAGTCGAAAAGACGGTCTTGAGATGGATCTTGAAGGAGTCAAGGGAAGGGGCGAGGTAGCAGGACTGCGGGATAGAGTTCCAGAGGTGGGGGCAGAGTGGCTGAAGGCCACTTTGACATACAACAGAGTTTGAATCCTTCCCCCCCTACCCCCCACACTTTGCCTAAACATTACTTTCTGAACCTGGGAATGTACAAGCTTATAATGGAAGCTGTGCAATGGAATTTCGCTTCACAAAACACAGAGGAGAAAGGTTGCTTAGGACAACACAAAGGAAGCTTGGGAGCACAAAAGAGGAAAGTTTAAAGAATCAATGTGGTTCCAATAAAATTGGGAAAAGTTGCAAAGGAAAGAGATGTATTTTACTTTTCACAGAAATAATGAGTTACTAGAACTCTACGTTCAGGGAGCCTTAAGTATGAACTTGGCATTGTAATTTGCCAAGGTTCAGCACTATCACAATTTCCAGGCTTCAAACCTACTATGTTCAGCTTGAGCACTGAACCCTTGAGAATTTAGAAAACACTCCATCTAAAATGTGTTGCTAACTCTTATATCACTCAACCGGCTCTTTTCTTTAGCAGCACCAAAAAATAACCTTCTGCAGCCAAAGGGGTGTGAGGGGGGAGGTGGAGGTGGGGGGTCAGCGGGAGGGTGAGGCTGGACCCAAGTGGAATTTCTCCTCCCTGCACTTAATGGCTTGAGGCCAACAGTTCATGTTTTTTATTATTTCAGGTTTTATTTTTAAAAAATGAATAAAACATTCACTTACTCTTGTTTTAATAATGGCAGTAATTGAGCGCATATCCCCAGCTATGATACAACCAGTCTTTTGATCCTTTCAGTTTGGGCAATATTGAAGTGAAAGTTTCCCGGGATGAAATATAAAGGTGATGGCTTTTCATTTATCAGCTTTATCCTTCTCCGCCCTGTGGCTGTCAATCATTGCCTCATTACTCTGCACATCGAGACATCACAACTGACCTCAGTATTGCCTGCTGTTGCCCATATATTCCAGATGTCTCTCCATTTGTGTTGTACATTGGCAGCGAACCATTGTAGTACAAGTCAGGATTAAGTCAATACAGTTTGCACTGACCTCACTCTCCACTGATTCATTGATAGCCCCTTCCCACACTCCGAGATGGGGGGATGGAGGAAGAGGGACCCAAAGCACTCAGGATCGTTTAAAGTGTCAGCTCGGCTCGATTGGTAGCACTTACATTCACTTTTGGGTCAGAAGTTCAAACTCCACATCTGGCGCTTGAGATCCTAAGCTGACACTGCAGTCCTGTGGTAGGAGAGAGCTATGTTGTTGGAGGGCCTGTCTGCATGTTCAGGTAGATGGTAGATTTGAAATGCGATGGGAGTTTCTCCCCCTTACGTCCTGCACAAAACATCACAAGTTGAGTTGGTTTGGTATTCTGAAATGTTGAAGACTGCACCTTCCCTGCACTCAACAGTCAGCTAGATATAGAGAATAGCTTCCTCTACACTGTCTGAATCCACCACTGCAAAGACTAGACACAGTAAAATTTGCTCCACTCCTTTGCTTCCAATGAAAGGATACCCCTGACTGCATAAATGTAGCATTTTCTCAACTCGAATCCCAATGAGATTTGTAATTAAGGGCAGTTTTTCAGTCAGTGTCATTTAAGAACTGGCTTGAAATGCCCCAAACTTAAGTCCGACAAAACCCT